GGTCCACATTCCCCACACTTCTGCCACATCTGCCCCACTGAAAACCAACAACCCAGGAGGTAGAAAGGACCCTTTTTGGCATGTCTGTCCAGTCCCCAAACCAATAACCTCATCTTCCAACCACATAAACCCAATTCATAGAGAATAAGATCTAAACGTGTTCCTAGCCCTAGTTCTGGTCCTTTTGTGAGGCTTAGCTCTATTCTTGTCCTAAGGTTCCATGTCATTCCCCTCCCCATAGCCTGTAGATAAATTCTCCCTTTTCACCTAAGCTATGTTAAGTTGGTTTCTGTCCCTTGCAACCAGAGGCCTTATTATTATATAGACACATGGGTCACATTCCCATGAGTTCTCTCTGAAAGTTTTCATGGCTAGAAACACTGAATAAGCCAATTCCCATAAAGGCATCAATGGTTGATAAACCCATGGCATGGCAGAGCTGGAAGTGTCCTCAGATGCAATCTTTTACAAATTCCTCATTATATAGAAGAGAAAACAGAGGCCCAGAGAGGGCAACGACTTACTCAAGAGTATATAGAGAATGCTGGCACCTCCTCATCTGTAGCAATCTAGATACAGGGAGACTGATGCTCCTTCCCTTCTCCAATAACCCTGGAAAATCCCTTGCTTATATTATGTTACAAGAGGCACCCTCTGGAATAAAACATTTTTCCTTACAACAGAATTTGAAAATCAAAATCAAAATCAAAATGTCTTTACTCAAAAAGATAAGTTCCCCAAAATGGAAACTGAGGCATTATAGCCATCTAGAGGAGGCACATGTTTTATAGGTGGTAGTTCTGCCCAGAATCTCTTCCATTATTCAATTAATGAATATTAATGACATCAATACTGTAGACCCAACTCTAGATTCCTAATTCAATGAGAAAATTAGAAGTTAGCAAACAGGGACTCCCTAAACTACTTGTCAACCTGAACTCTACTCTACAATCCACTCTCCATGTGCACCATCTAATATTGTGCTTCAGCCATGCTGAGTGTCTTGCTACTCCCCGAACAAATTGCCAATTCCTCCTGCCTTTAGGTCTTTGTATTCACCACTGCCACAACTTGAAGCAATCTAATATCTCTGCCTTCACTCGATCAATTTCTGCTCAGCCTTCAAGGATCAGTTCAGACATTTCTTTTTCTTTTTTGCAAGT